GGCTGTACGGCGGGTGATCGAACTGCTGGTGTCACTCAAAACCTTATTCAAGCATTCGGTTGGGAACAGTTCGATCACCCGCCGTACAGCCCCGATCTCGCACCTTCTGACTACCACTTGTTCTTGAACTTGAAGCGTGATTTTGGAGGAAGGCGCTTTGACAGCGATGAGGACGTACAAAACGGTGTTCAGCAGTGGCTATCTTCACTGGCGGCATCTTTCTATGAAGAGGGCATAGAAAAGTTGGTTTCCCGCTACGACAAATGTCTGAACAATGGTGGCAACTATGTTGAAAAATAGTTTAAGAAATGCTCTTTAATGTGAAAATAAAATTAGTTTTGAAAAAATGGTTTTAAAGTGTTTTTTTCCAAAACGATACTTAGTTTACGGACAAACCTCGTATGTAACTCAAGAACTGGTTGAACTAACGAGTTAATAATATGGTACACAAAGTAAAATTGTATAACGTAGTTGTATAACTTTTATTTATTGTGATTTTTAAATTGATTGTGTTTTACATTGTAATATAATTTAATTTCTTAAAAAAATGTTTGTGCAACTTTAACTTTGTTCTTAACATAAACGTTGATATGTTAAATTCAGTTATATAATTAAAAATTTAAATATATAAATAATAATTTTCTTCCTCGCTAGGAATTAAATAACAGAAAAATAATATTATTCGACCACAACTGATTATATTATAAATTCTATTACAATACGTTATTGCAAAAAATATCAGATGCTTTAGTCAGGGTCCTACCTGGCTGAAGTAATATTTTAAGCACCAATGATTCTGTTATTTAGATAGAGACGATCACACGCAAAAGCGTTTTGAGAATTAATATTATTTTCTAGAAAAAGTAGATCTTAACAAAAAACGAGATAGGCATAATAAATGTTACAAGATTTTAAATGCGCGATTAAATATATGAGGTCACCGAGCTCAACAAGCCAATACTTATTAGTAAAGTCAAAAGATTCAATGTTTTGAGGAAATTTGGCAGCTCTTTGAGACTTGACAATATCCATATCTTTAAGGATGTATTGGACGTACAATCCCTGCCGAAAATGGTCGATTAAAACGGATTACTTTTTAATCCGTTTTAATCCATTTTAATCGGTTTTAATCGGTTCAATCCGCGCCCAGATTAAAAAGTAATCGATTTTAATTCGGAACAAATTACAATCAGTTTTAATATCGCTTTCGCGGATTATTTCTAATCCGAAATCATTACATTCTAAAACCTATTGTTGTCAGTCCAAATAAACACAAATAATCGGATGGATATATAATCCAAAATAATCCATCTAATATGCAATTTTAATTCATTATAATAAATATCCAATTTTTAGTAATTGAATTGATTGTAATCCTATTTAATCCAAAATTCACTGATTTCGGACATGTGTTTATTTCATTTCCAACTTTAATACCAATTGTTTGTATTACTTGAAAGTTTGATACCATTCAGTTATGTATAAACTGTTCATTTATCATAAGTTTAATTACGTTTTGTTATAATATAAGTTTATTTTAAGGTTCTAAAATTAATATGTTAAAGGTAACTCAACCAAGCAGTATTGATATCGTAAAATGTATTACACGATAGTATTCTTGTAGAATGTGATAATTAAAATAAAATAAAGTTTACATGAAATACAGGGTGTTCGATTTAATCTGTCCAGGCCGATATCTCGGAAACTATCGAAGCTAGACGAA